CCTCACATTTATTCAACTTGTCTCCAAACTCTCCATACCATCTCCTCTCTCCATTCTTCTCTCCCTCCCTCATTCCTCCCTCTCTAACACATACCATCCCTCTCTCCCTCCCTCCCAACAGTCGACCTTTGGCATGTGGGGTTTCCACATTAGGGCGTATATATATAGCCTAGTGGTCTGAAATATTAAAAAATACAGAATAGTTACCAATTTGCTTTGAGAAAGGCAGAGCTTGAGAGAGGATAGTCTGTTCACGCTACAGCCAAAGTAAGGATAGTAGAAAGTTTATTTTTTTTAAATTTCCTGAGATGGGTGAATAATGGGATATATTATTATCATAAGAATATAAGGGGTACTCGAAGAAATGAAACTGTAAGAAGTCATTAAGAAACTGTATTAAGTCATTCGAGGCAGCTCCTGTTTATATCCACACAAACACATTCATATGAGTCTGTGAGGATTAAGACTAAATTTTTATTTTTCCCCCCTGACGTGATGGCGTTGCTCAATCATTTGTTTCTGTCATTTCGTGAATATTATTAAAATATTATGTATTCCCCGAAGCGTCTTTTGGTTAGTCATTCTTGTGTTATACATTTATGCTTATGTTCCCATCTCTTGTTTATATATATATATATATATATATATATATATATATATATATATATATATATATATATATATATATATATATATATATATATATTTATATATATATATAAGGTCTATCCTGTATCGGAAATAAGCCTTTACACAGGTTTTCTCTGTATCTCTTAAGCTTATCAAACATACATACACATTGTTTTGTGTTTTGTTTTCTGTATATATTTAAAAACCTTATCAACAAACCATTCATTATACACTTTTATCCATTTGAATTATTCAGTCTTTTCACCCTCTTATCAGTCTTTGGGAGATAATTGAAAGCTTGTCACCCTGTCTCTACGTCGTCACTTAAGACTTTCTCTAATCAAGTGACAAACTCCAGACTTTCCTTCCACAAACTAGAAGTTAAGAAGAGTCCTTGGGCAGTGTGAAGGATCCTAAACTTCTTCCCCAATGCGTCGAGAACTTCTCAAGGAATCCTTGCACTAGACAGCTGGACCAAACCTAATCAACTGGACCTGACTCAGGAACAGCTGTTATCTAATGTTATCTTATCTTATCTGATGGCCCCGCTGTCGACATTCCGGCGAGTTAATAATGTTTACATCCACTTGTCTCTGTTAGTTAATAATGCTCGTTTGCCATGACGGAATGCAGGAGCTGCAGACTGCATACTGAGTAGAGTTCACGTCTTAAAAAGGCTGTAAGCCACACTCTATTGTCAGCAGGGACTGTGCCTGACTGTGTCAGCTGATAGCAGGGAGTGTGGCAGACTGTGTCAGCTGATAGCAGGGAGTGTGGCTGACTGTGTCAGCTGATAGCAGGGAGTGTGGCTGACTGTGTCAGCTGATAGCAGGGAGTGTGGCTGACTGTGTCAGCTGATAGCAGGGAGTGTGGCTGACTGTGTCAGCTGATAGCAGGGACTGTGGCTGACTGTGTCAGCTGATAGCAGGGAGTGTGGCTGACTGTGTCAGCTGATAGCAGGGACTGTGGCTGACTGTGTCAGCTGATAGCAGGGACTGTGGCTGACTGTGTCAGCTGATAGCAGGGAGTGTGGCTGACTGTGTCAGCTGATAGCAGGGAGTGTGGCTGACTGTGTCAGCTGATAGCAGGGACTGTGGCTGACTGTGTCAGCTGATAGCAGGGAATGTGGCTGACTGTGTCAGCTGATAGCAGGGAATGTGGCAGACTGTGTCAGCTGATAGCAGGGAGTGTGGCTGACTGTGTCAGCTGATAGCAGGGAGTGTGGCAGACGGAACTATCTGACGATATAAAGAATCATAACAAAATAATTCACGTCTCAGCATCTTCAAGAAGCCCTGGTATCTTCAAGAAGTCCCAGCATCTTCAAGAAGTCCCAGCATCTTCAAGAAGTCCCAGCATCTTCAAGAAGTCCCAGCATCTTCAAGAAGTCCCAGCATCTTCAAGAAGTTCCAGCATCTTCAAGAAGTCCCAGCATCTTCAAGAAGTCCCAGCATCTTCAAGAAGTCCCAGCATCTTCAAGAAGTCCCAGCATCTTCAAGAAGTCCCAGCATCTTCAAGAAGTCCCAGCATCTTCAAGAAGTCCCAGTATCTTCAAGAAGTCCCAGCATCTTCAAGAAGTCCCGGCATCTTCAAGAAGTCCCAGCATCTTCAAGAAGTCCCAGCATCTTTAAGAAGTCCTAGCATCTTCAAGAAGTCCCAGCATCTTTAAGAAGTCCTAGCATCTTCAAGAAGTCCCAGCATCTTCAAGAAGTCCCGGCATCTTCAAGAAGTCCCAGCATCTTCAAGAAGTCCCGGCATCTTCAAGAAGTCCCAGCATTTTCAAGAAGTCCCAGCATCTTCAAGAAGTCCCAGCATCTTTAAGAAGTCCCAGCATCTTCAAGAAGTCCCAGCATCTTCAAGAAGTCCCAGC